CAGCACAACATGAACTCAAAGTCGTTTTTGGAGTTCTTTTGTCTCTTAATGTTTTGCCAGGGAATATTTATTTGTTTGTTTGTTTATTTATTTATTTAATTTAATTTTTACTTTACAAGTCCTTTGCTGATGTACTAGGGCTCCCAGTTATGTGTTTTTATGGGATTCCTGTGTCTCTGAATCTCTGTTTCCTATGCTTTTTCTTTGGCTCTATTTCTTCTGTTTGTGTGCTTGCCCTATTCCATTTTATTTATTTTCATTGCACCTGACTTTATTCTATTCTTTCGGTGTCTGTTTTCTTTTACTCCCCATTAATTAATTAATCTATTAATTTATTTTACATCCTAATGGCTGCCCCCACTTCCTGGTTCCCCTCTCACAGAGCCCCTCCTCCAACCTCCTCCCCTTCTCCTAAATGTCTGTTTCCTAAGGAGAGACAGAAAGGGTGTGGATCTGGATGGGAGAGGAGGTGGGGAAGCTCAGAAGGTTGAGGGAGGGGAAACTGTAATCAGGATATATTGTATAAAGATCTATTTTTAAGAAAAGAAAAAAGTGTGTGTGTGTCTGTATCTCTCTGTCTCTCTGTCTCTGTCTCTGTCTCTGTCTCTGTCTCTCTCTCTCTCTCTCTCTCTCTCTCTGTGTATGTGTGCGTGTTTGTGTGTGTGTGTGTGCATGTGTGTATGAGATAGCTCATGAAGGACCAACCTGGGGCGGTGTTCTTTGTCTTCCACCTTCTTTGAGTCAGGTAGTGTCTGTGTTTACCATGTGGCCTCTTGCAAGCTTTAGGGATTCTCTTGTCTCTACCTCCCAACTCATTATATAACATTTCATTGATAGAAACAGGTTCTGGGGATCTAAACTCAGGTCCTTATCCTTGGACAACAAGTGCTCTACACCCACTCATGGGGCCATATCCCCAGAGAAGTCTTTTTTAATTAATTATTTTATTTTGCTCCCTTCCTTCTCCCTCTATCTCCTTTTCTGCCTCTCTCTGTCTCTGTCTTTCCCTCCTCCCTCTGTCTGTATGCATCTTTGTGTGTGTATGTGCATGTGTGCTTGTGTGTGTGTGTTTGTGTGTGAGTGAGTGTGTTAAAGAGAGCATCAGATCCCCTGGAACTGGAGTTAACAGCAGTTATGAATACCCAGTGGGTGCTGGAAACTCAGTCCCGGTCCTCTGCAAAAGCAGTCAGTACTCTTAACTGCTGAGCCATCTTTCCAGATCCCCAAAGAAAATTTTGATGTAGAATATTCCTTTCCTTCTACTTTATTTTTTCCGCTATTTTACTGAAGAAAGTAGGTCATATGTTTAATAATATTTTATATATTCTGGATGTTGCTGAGTCTATCTCAATGGTGTGATTTTATGTCTTTGTCTATACTTCTATTTCTTCTGACCTGGTAGGTATGAAGGCTTGACCAGACTTAAGTGGCCAGATTCCTTATAGGTGATGAAGAAATATGATGATATTTTAAAAAACTTTGATCAAAGCCCTGAGGGCCAGCAGAAAGAATGGAAACAGGCAACCTCAGGAGGCAGGAGGTACACCCCAGAGTGTACCAGAGACCTGGGAGATGAGAGACTCTCAGGACTCAAAGGGAAGGACCTTAGATGTAATGATGAACAGTAGGGAGAGGGAAATTATAGAGCCCACCTCCAGCAGGAAGACAGGGCACTAAGTGAGGGAGGAGGTTGTCATCCCACAGTCAAAACTCTGACCTGTTGTTCCTGTTTGAAAGAACTGCAGGGATGGAAATAGAGGGAAGCCTGAGGAAAAGAAGGTCCAGCAACAGGCCCAAAGTGGGATCCAGTTCAAGGGGAGGCCTCAAGGCCTGATGCTATTACTGAGGCTATGGAGCTCTCACAAAAAGGAACCTATCATGACCGTACTCCGGAAGACCCAACAAGCAGCTGAAAGAGTCAGGTGCAGATATTTGCACCCAACCAATAGACAGAAGCTGTTGACCCCTGGGGTTGAATTAGAAATAAGCTGGAAGAAGCTGAGGAGGAAGGCAGCCTTGTAAGAGGACCAGTGGTCTCAATTAACCTGGACCCCTGAGATTTCTCAGACACTGAACCACCAACCAGGCAGCATATACCAGCTGATATGAGGCCCCCAACACATATACAGCAGAGGTCTGTGTTTAGTCAGAGAAGATGCACCTAACCCTCAAGAGACTGGAGGCCCCAGGGAGTTTCGAGGTCTGATTGGGCAAGGACACCCTTATGGAGACAGGGGAATGGGGAGGAAGTATGGGATGTGGAACAGTCAGAGGGTGGATGGGGGGCACAGGGGAAATAAAATCTGTAGTGTAAATAAATAAAAGACAACAACAACAACAACAGCAACAACAACAACCTTTTCTGAAAACATCCTTTCAACCCCCAAGTGCTTACATAATAAAATCAGGATTGTGGGAGAATCGAAAGAGCATCCCAGTCTTGACTCTCAGTCTACCTGTTTTGTTTAAGCAAAAGCACACTGTCTGGGTGAATGGCCAGTCCGAACCCGGTCTCTCTAAGACTCCACCCTTTGATCCAGAGGTTAAGGGGGCATGTGGCCATGTGTAGTGTTTTATGTGTGTGCTGAAGATTCAGGCGCAGGCCTTCGTGGCTGAAGGGCTAGTCCTCTCACCTGCAGACCCATGTTTTCCCATTACCGTTTCCCTCTTAAGTGTTTTTCCCCCATTATGACCCAGTGTCTGCTCTCACATGAGAACCCCAGTGCAATGCCACATTTTCGGGATTTTATGTCTATTTGTTGAGATTGTTTTCTTTTATTGAGTATTTTCTTTATTTACATTTCAACTGTTTTCCCTTTTCCAGTTCTCCCCTCCAGAAACCCCCTCTCCCATCCTTCCTCCCCTTGCCTCTATGAGAGTGCTCCTCCTCCCACCCACCTACTCCTGCCTTCCCGCTCTGGCATTTCCCTACATTGGGGCATCAAACTCCCACAGGACCAAGGGCCACTCCTCCCACTGATGTCCAACAAGGCCATCCTCTGCCATATTTGCAGTCGGAGCCATGGGCTCCTCCATATGTATGTACTCTTTGGTGGTCCAGTCCCTGGAAAATTTGTACAGTGTGCTTCATCATGTTCTTCCCCATCCCTCAGCTCCTCCTATATCCTCCTGTCTCTCTCCACCCAATTTTATGTTCTTTCTCTCTCTTAAAAGAATGGTGGTGGTGGGAACAACTAAAAACAGAGTCTGTTTGGCATTGAATAGCCACTCCTGAGCATGGGCCTTTGTCTGCAGTGTGGTTGATATACCCAGTATCCCTTCTTTGGAGAAACCTGATTTTCCCATCTCCTACCAGCTAATATTTGTAAACAGCTTCTTGGCTAGGAGTGGTACTTCATGCCCATGTTCCCTCCTCAGTGCTTGGACCTTGTCTGGCTTGAGCTTGTACAAGACAGTCTGTGTGCTCACATGGGCCTCTACCCCACTGTGTCTAGAAAACACTGTTTCTTTAAAATCATACACTATCACTGGCTCTTACAATCTTCTGTCCCCTCTTCCACACAGGTTCCTGAGCCTTGAGGAGAAGGCTGTGATAAAACTATCCCCGTAGGAGTGAGCACTCTGTAGTCTCTTGTTCTCCATGCATTCTCCAGCTGTAGGTCTCTGCATTGTTTCCCATCTCCTGAAAGACTAGACTTTCTGAGGAGGTGTGAGCCTAGTGAGGTACTCTGGTCTATGGGTCATTAGGTCAATCATTAGAAGTCATGTCATTAGAAGTCATTTCACAGTCACTCAGCAGAATAAAAGTAAGTTTCTTTTCCCCTGGAACTCACAACCCACAAGTTTCTGTGCTCTCCACCTACATGTCTCTCCTTACACATCTGTGAATGTTTGAAAGCAAGTGCTAGGTTTTCTTGTTTCACTCCCCATGACCTATAAAACGCTTTGGTTTGGTAGAAAACTGGAAAATTCAAACTTTGTTCAACTGAGCTTATGGGGTTGAATTGAATAAAAGGAGATTATTCAACGTCTCTTTTATGGCTCTCTATTTTTTTAAAAAAAAATGCTGAAATACTTTTCTTTAGCTAAGCCATCTGAAGAATCTAACAGAATCATTAGGACCTGGCCAACAATGGCATTTATTGATTTCTATAAAGTAGTGGCCAACTGAGAAGAATACAGGGACAGTACAAAGAAGATGTACAAAGTACAAAGGTGGAGTTTCCTTCGCAAGCTTAGGAAACATTCAGTTTGCCAATGCATGCAATAAGTTTATTTTCCAGTAATCCTTTCAATAACCATGAACTTCTTTCTGGCAGTGATAGTAATTATTCTCTATTCATAGGAAAAAATACGTATGAAGACGACTAGAAATAAGCCCAAGCGTATATGACATGCAGTGGCTTCATTTGCACAACAAAGGGCCACGTACAGATGAGGCCAAGTACTTTGTTCTATGAAAGGTTAAGTCAGCTTCTTGGTCTGAACCCAAATGTTGTAACTTTCAGTCAACACTGTGCTTTAGCAAAGTTTAGGCAGTCTGTATGGTTTAATAATATCAATTTTGATTTATGAGCCTCTGAAATATGTTTCAGGAGGAAATACAAAGGGATCAATATTGAAATATCTCTTGGCATCAACTCATTTCCTTATTCAGTGCTTTCAGACTTGTGCAGTGTTTTGTGTAACAGCCCCAGGTTTCCTTTCTTTCAATATAGTGAAAACCTGTATCATTGTGAAAGTTTAAATGCTTAAGTCTTTTACTATTTATTTTATTTGAAATGCAGTGTATTATTATATATATTCAGAACCCTAACTACCATCTTCTCACCCTTCAATTAAATCCCACAATGCAAGCCTCTTGGCAGTAGGCCCGCCTTTCATGTTTATTCAACTGAGGCTGAATCTTGAAAACGTGTTGAAGTTTGGGATTCTCTGGTGAGAACCCACAGCCTGACGTTGCACTGGCCACGGCCCTAATTGGCTGTTGAGAGGCGGAAAAGGGTTTATAGTCAGCATGAGCGAGTGAATGAGTGAGTGACAGCCGGGAGAACAATCCGTGCCACTCACTCACTCCAGCCAGGACTACAGAAGGGTAAGGCAATGGGCAAGCACCTCACAGCCAGGCACCTCAGGCTTCCTGTGTGGCTTTGGCTTGGAGTTTGTAGTTGAAGCATGGATCTTACTGCACAGCGCACAGTGGTTCTACTTGAACTTTTGCTTGCTACGAATTGGGACCTCTGAGTTTATGTTCTTTCAGGAAGCCAGGCTGGTTAACATAGCACACAGCTAAACTGCTCAGACTGGTAACATGAACTAGAAAATGCTGCATCTTACTCTCTATCTCTGAATATCATGGCCGTCTGGATTTTTTGTTTTATGGGGTTTTTGTATTGTTTTGTGTTGTTTTGTTTTTCATGCTGATGTATTCAAGGTAACCTAACTGCAGTACTATTTATGTCTATAAATTGCTTGCATATATGCACTTGCCATAAATTATACCTCATCTGTGCTTCAATAACACACAATATCTTTTCAATATGTTCTGTGTTAAATTTCAAAGTGTTCATATTCCATAGCTCTAAAATCAATATGGAAATGTATACTACTACAGAAGTTGATGATTTTGCTTGCTCATATGTATTTAAGTGCTTGCTGTGATCCATTACGAGTGTTTTTGTCCAAGTCAGCAGTGGCCACTACAGAAGTGTCTGCTGTGTGAAGAATTAAAACGAAAACAAGGCGAGCTTAACATGGTGGCTATCTGAGGTTCTCAAAGCTCACTTGTCTTTATGTGTAAAATATGATAAACCAGGCCATGCTTTCATTCTGGTTACATCATGATTTCTTGTGAGAAATTATTATTATCATAGCTCTGTCTACAGTTCTGTATATTTAAGTTTCTAGTGCTTTCAATATTATATTACATTTTTATAAAGCTATAAATCAACATTTTTCCTGATCTTCCTCCTCCTCTTCCTCCCTTCTTTTCTTCCTTCTCCTCTTCTTATTACTCCTCCTCCTCCTCTTCCTCCTCCTCTTCATCCTCCTCTTACTTTTCCTCCTCCTATTTCTCCTCCTCCTCCTCTTCTTCCTCCTCCCCCTTTCCCTCCTCCTCTTCCATTTCCTTCCTCATTGCTATCATTTTTGTTTTTGTTTGATACAGAATCTCATATAGCTCATGCTTGCTTCAAATTTAGTATGTAGCCAAGGATGCCCTTGAACTCCAGATTTTCCTGCATCTAACTCCTAAGTGTAGCACCAGAAATGGCTACATCAGTCTTCTTAATCAGGGGTCCATCTTCATAGACTAAACCCCTCTGGTTCTCTAAATTTGTTAAACTATACTCTGCCTCTCTCCATTTCGGTCTCTCTCTGTTTCTCTGTCTCTCTCCCCTACTCTCTTCCTCCTTTCTCTTTTTTGTTTGCACACAAATAAGAATGATTCCAGCACACAAGTTGGAGGGGACTGTGAAAAAGTGTGTACCTATCAAATCAAAATTCTCACATCAAGTATGCTTTATGTCTTACTCTGCATGGTTATTATTTTAGTATCTAATACTCAGGGTAGATGTAGTCAATGCTAATGCCAAGGTAAAATAAAAACAAATCCCCTACAGAGTATAATGCCTGATATGGGCTTTGTACAGAGAGTTAGCGACCCCATTATGTCAGTGAATTGTCTCCATTTATGAAGCAACCTCCTTCAGCTGTGTGAGAGTTGTCTGGTTCCAGCTAGGCTTGTTCAAGAGAATTACTATAGAACTTTAGGGTAACGTTCACTGTCTGCTTCTAATTATGATAGGGCTGTAAAGAGGTGGGAAATTGCTGCTGTACCCCAGAATCAGTCCAGGACTATTTACCCACTGAGAGTTGTTCCCTAGAGCAGCTATACTGATCACAGTGCTCCACACTAATAGATGAGAAATTTAAATGGAGCTGGGGAAACCCAATTTAAGGGGATTTATCTGATACCTCCAGATGAGCCTCTGAAGAGCTCTTCCTCAGACTACCAGAGTGGTATTTCATATATTATGAGGTGTTTCCCTCTCCCCTTCTCTTTTCTCTCTCTTCCCTTTTCCTTTTTCCTTCTTATCTCCATCTCTCCCTTCACTCTTCTTTTTCCCCTCAACTCTCTCTCATTCCCTCCTTTCTTTCTCCCCCCTCTCCTTCTCTCTCTTTCTCTTCCCTCTCTTCCCCTTTCTCCCTCCCTCCCTCCCTCTCTCCCTTTTCCCACCCATCTTTCCATCTCCGTTGCAGGCCCCAAGCCAACTAAGAAGTATTCAAAGGTATTCATAGGAAAACAGCTCCTACTGCCTATTTTAAGAATGAACTTTCAGTTCAGAAATCCATGCACGGAAGTTGGAAACTTCTTGTAGTCCACTGTGTAAATGAGCAGTTTCAACACATTTGAACTTTGCTTGATTTTTAACTATTAGTAACCAAACAGGGCACACAGCTGCACTGACAAGACAGCTGGTGTGGTTGATAGGCCTTGTTAGTGCTATTTGGGGTTCTTGCACCCCCATGTGAAGCACTCCAAATGTTTAGATTCAGATACATGGATCCAGTGTCCTTGACTGACAAACCACAGAAAGATGAGTCAAGTATGGAGCTCAGTACTATTCAGACACATCTACAGAATAACCAGAAGGACTTTGAAAACAGAGTTTGGGGGGGGGGGGGGGCGGGAACAGTGTCAAACACCGCACCTGTGGCAAGCAAATACTTAACACCTCTCAAATAATAATTACACAAATTAAGATCAACTGAATAATTTATGAACAAACAAGCCACACACTATGTTTTAATAGCTACTAATTACATCCCTTCTTCAGTCGCAGAAGACATTGCAAAATGAGGACTGCTTTAATTTTGCTCAGCATTTTGGGAATGGCTTGTGCTTTCTCGGTAAGTTTATTGTGGAAAAAAAACCTATATTTTTGGTAGTTATACATTTTTATGCAAACAGGGTGTGTAACAGTAAAATGTTTTTTCGAACAGATGAAAAATTTCCATCGAAGAATCAAAGCAGAGGATTCTGAAGAAAATGGGGTAACTGATTTCAGACAATTTCTCTGACCTATGCTTATTCCAATGTAGCTGTACACTAAACACGGTGATAACATTCTTTTGTTTGTGCAGGTCTTTAAGTACCGGCCACGATACTTTCTTTATAAGCATGCCTACTTTTATCCTCCTCTGAAACGGTTTCCAGTCCAGGTAAGTGCATAACTTGATTCTTCTTTCCACTTGTTAAGCTTGTGTTATTACACGGATCAAATTAAACACTCAAACATCTGGATTCACTCTCAACACAAATTCATCCAGAGAGACTTCTTGCTATGAAGGCCTGAGTTTACTGTTAAACAAACAAACAAACAAAAAACAAAAAAAAAACCCCAAAGTTTTTCTTCAACACAAGAGAGACAGAACACAGACTGAAAGCATTTGGGACAATAAAAACAAGTACTTAAGCGCTCAGCTAATCTGCTGATAAAAGTGAGCCATTTTATCAACTAGTGAGAATAAAGCCAGTGATGAGATCACTAATTGTCCTGATGGTTGATTCAGTGCTGTCGGCCGCTGTTCACATCTAGCATTTCAGCATCTTCCCAACATGGGACAAGCTACAGTCACAGGTACCAGGAGGGTCCAGACAACAGTGGCCTTAGTCCTTCAATGTCAGTGACGATGATCTCCAGGACCCTTACCCTGTAGGTGGCAGAGCTGTTCACATGGAACACAATTATAATGGGGGTCTGACCCAAGCACTTCAGAGGCAACAGAGAGACTTGTAAAATACTGGAAGCCTATGAGAAAAAATATCCTGGAAATTTGTAAAACTAGAAGGCAAAATAACTAAAGTTAAAAATGAGACATCTCATTTTTGCCGGGCTATTTGTGAAAGAGGCCTTTGAAAACTGGAGGGTATGGTTTTGATTCTAAATTCACAGTAAGCTAGAGTAACACTATTTTTGTTACTGTACAGTTTGGGTCTGGAGCAAAAATTATGTAGCATTTGACCCAAGACATTCAAGGCACTGAAAGCAGCAGATGGCTGAGAAATCTGTTTCAGTGTAGTGCCTGGCTCCGAATTTTACCATGTGTCAGGCTAACCCCTCTCTAGCTCATGCAATGCTAGAAAATCATAATCCTCAAGTATTTCTAGCACTATTATAATGACAGGGAACTTATGTGGCCACAGAAAAATGAGTATGAACAATACAAGAGTTGTGGGTTTTCAGAACTGTCTACAATTCTCTGGTTCACCTCAGGCCCAGAAATAAACAGGATCCATTTGAAACTTTTCTCTCTTTCTAAAACAGAAATGATATGAATTCTAGTTCTTATGTAGCTGGCCAACTTTTCTGGAATATCTAACATTTAGATACAACCATTCCCTCCTGGTTTTCTTTTTAAAATAGATATGTGTCCACAGTGTACTGATACTAGTAAAGTGGCAGCTGCCTACCACTGATACACTCAAAGTCCATAGACGTCAAGAATACATTTGTTGCAAATTGTGTACATAGAGGCTTGAGTAAGTTAAGCAGAACTTGTGAGATAGTTGTTTTAAAATAGACAATGGAACATCTAGTACAACTTCTGAGATATTTGTGACAAGCTCCTGTTTTACAGTCTCACTTCTCCTAGCCATGCATTACACTTTATTGACTTTGAAATTCATGTTTTAGTGAGTAAGTCTGTTTATGGGCTTACTGTAAATATCAACTTGCATGTAATACACCAGATGGGTGGTGAGGCCATCTGTCTACTATAGATTGTTTCTATGCTGACCTATAGAGACAAAAGTAAAAATTATCTTAATTTAGTATCCTAAGCTATTTTAATGAAAAACTACATTTTATGATTAAGATGATATTTGATTACTGTGCCAACTTGTAGAGGACAAGATTCAATTTTATGTCTTTTATCATATTCAGCAAGCATATCAAGGTGGATTTTCAGAATTGTCTTTCATTAAGTCATCTGTCATCTATCTATCTATCTATCTATCTATCAATCATCTTTCATGTCTCTATATAAATTCACTGAAGACTTTGGAGGAATCAATAAGACTGATAAGTTGATGTTAAGTATAAGGAAGGAAAGTGATTCAAAACCATAACAAAATAAAATACAGACCCTAAGACATTCCATGTAGCTTCCAAACTGTTCCCAGCACACATATGAATAGATCCTGATTGATTTAGGGAGAAAATTAGAGGAACGGAACCATGAAAAATACCCAACACACTCCCAGCTGAGAAAAACAGCTCTGGTCATATAAACATACGGTCCTCTATATTTTATTCAATAAACAGAATTAGTTCAAATACAATGACTTGTTTTATACCCCACTAGGTGTGGAACAGCACAACTACCAGGTCATGGCAGTGCAGGGAGGGCCTAATAATTCCTTTTCCACCCAAAGTTATTATTGGCCTTAGACAGCACACGTTCCCTTCCCTTGGCTGGGTGACATAGCCACCTGAAGAATGAGGCCAGCAGGCAACAGGGTGCAGCATAAGTCTTTTCTACAGCCTATTCCTAACCCAGAAGATCTAGGTTCTTCTAAATAACATTCTCCAAGGACAGGATATTTATCAGATCATTAGAATCTAAGCTAAGATTGATAGGTAGGAAATAAAAGACTCTGATCTAAGTACAGATTTAATTCCTAAGGTCAGTGGGGCTAGGTGTAGAATAAGAAGGAAGATTCAATGTGGGATGTCTCTGGTAGAAGATCAAACATTTCCTCTCATTTCTTAGAAGTTTTAATGCAAGCTTAGAATTATATTTAATTTTAAATATCTCAGAATTAGGATAAGTCTAATGTGTAGAACATTTGCCCCGCATTTGAGCCACAGCATTGCAAGGTTATAACAAAAAATATAAAAGCACCAACAATAAACACCCCAGTAAAGCTCATTCACCCAGGCTATATGTGTAGAATCCTTGGTCTAATTTATTCTCACCACACCAAATTGTAACAGCATTTAAAAAAAATCTTTCATCTAATTTAATTGTGTATATATCAATTATTTTAAAATTAGTTTTAATTAAATGGAGAAGCTAGGAAAACAAATTTAATTTTTTAAAAACAAGTTATAATTTAGATTGCAGTACTTAAGAGTCTTATCAAGTAACAATTTTATCTCTTTATTATAAGCTAAATCATGAATCACCTATATTTTGTAAGAAAATAAGACTATGAAATCTATTTAGAAGTGGGTGGGCAAGTCACACTTTTTTGAGTTGTTCCTTCATGGAGAGCTTCACTCAGTTCTTACATTCCTTCAAAATTAAGCAATTTTGTGATTTGTTATTCTGGTTTTTACATAGAGAGTAATATTTCAACATATTACCTATGTTTGAGAGGTTGAAAGCAAGTAATCTCCATCTACACACTGTTCTTCATAAGGCAGCTGCTTCTGCTTCCTCATTCCATAGGTGTGCAAATGTGCCTCTTCTCACTCAATACCCCTCCATAATTAGTAAATCAATCAGCTGACAATGCCACGTGTAACTAAATATCTGTGTGTTATACTTTAATTATCAGGAAATGTTAATTGTTGTGGAGTATATATTTATGCATTGTATATGTATATACACATGCACAGACTGTATGTATATTCTAGGGAGGCAGCGACTCTTCAGAAGAAAATGGAGACGGTGATAGTTCAGAGGAGGAGGGGGAGGAAGAGGTAAGACGTTTTGTATTTGTTCTGTAACAAGCCAGGCAGCACAGGGAACTGATAGGAAACTATTCCATGAATTCTAGACTCAGCAAATAGCCATTGTCACCTTGCTGGTGACTCAGAACCTGCTGTTCTGGACAGGCAGAATATTATTTAAATTAGAAACATCTAAAATAACCTGCTTCAAACATCATTGTAATTTGGGGTGAGAACTTCCTAGACATGGTTCAGAAAAATAAAGGTGTCTGAAATTTAAGGGAAGTGCAAAATCCACTGGAAAGCAACATGAAGTTTATTTGTATTTGGTGTCCGTGATAATGACAAGAACTAGTAATCTTGAGCTTAGTGTGACTCACCTTCCTCCCTCAGTGAACCGTATGTGAAGCCAAGTGAAACCTCTACAGTGGTGCCCCATTTAATATACAGAATGCAGTTGGTATCTTTAATAGTAATTTAATAGGGTTTTGTCTAATAATTAGATTACAGAAGCCAAAATACTCAAAATATATAAACATCTTCCTAAACAGTTAAAATTACTACAATCATGGCTAAAATTCCTACACAGCTTGTAAATCATGTTATTATGTTTATAACGAACATCCTTGCCTAAGGAAACATATCAGTTAGGATATATTTCTGGGTAGTCAGTTACAGCTACTTTGGCTTGGGAATATTCTAAATCCAGGTATTCCTAGGTGGTATTTATGAACAGAAAATGGCAGGCAAAAACACCATCTGTGTCAGCTATCCTGAAAGCAAAGGATGTGGTAACTTGAAAGGTGACAAAGGATTGTTTTTTTTCCTTCTGGTTAAGTAACATTTCTTGTGCTACAGTTACATGGACAGACAGAAGGCCTTAAAACAATACCAAACCTGGCCCAGAAAACATGTGTGTGTTATTACATCCTTCACAATCTTGCTGCAATTCAATTGTACCCCCAAACTAAGGAAGACGCATCCATTTCCCTATAGCTGTTTTCTTTACAGCAATTGCAGCATGGCCTTTCCATATCCCCGTTGCACTATGTATCTCTGGCAGCAGCTCTTGGCTTGCTGTGGTTGAGGTGGTGGTGGACATAGAAGGATCAGCCTCTGACACAGTTATGCACACCCACGATGTAGCCAGCCATCTCTGCATATGCAGCTCCTCCCATTTCTTCTGTTCACATCCCCTAGGATCCAAGACCCCACCCCTACCCTTCCACCCCGTGTTAAACTCTGTTTAAGGAAAGGACTGTTCTGTGCCCACTTCTGCAGCTGCTCATACTGTCTAATTCTGATGCACATATGGTGCACAGTAAATATGTCAGTATCGCACAGGAAGGACCGTATGATAATATGGATGAGTCTGAAGGCCAGAGTGACAGAAGCCTCTTATAAGGGAATGTATGCTGTATCATACTATATGTAGATTATGCACATGTATAGTATATATTAAGTATTGCATATTTTTAAAAAGAACAACAAGCAGAAGCCTTCTATAAGTCAAACTTACGGTAGTCCACGGTAGAACTTGACTAATGCAGTATTAGGCAGGTGACACTTTTTATATTAGTGATAATTTTACCTATATGTTCAGTTTCTGAAATTTCAATGAGCTAATGATGTACCATATTCTTCACTAAATCTAGATCATTCACAAACTTAACAAGACAAATCCTGCTTTACACAACTTGTTTTCATAAGCCAGACCAAGCTCAGTTTTAGTTTGTTTTCCTGAAATCTTAACAGTATCCAAATATCACAATCTCCCAAAAATACATTTCAAGTAAATTCAACTGTCCAGTACTGATTTAAATATATAAATTTAAAGAAACAAAATCCAGACTTTTACTAGTAGGTATTAATTATACTGATAGACTAGCTCAATTTGCAAACTAATATCTCACAGCTAAATAAAAGAAGAAAACATTAAATATTAAAATATACATTTGTTTCACTTAATTTTTAATCATCTTCATGTAATAGCACTATACAATACTGTGAATACTTGAAACAATTGTTCACCAAATATCTAAAGCACAAATACTTTTGATTTGATAAAATGAAAATCTAAAGCATCCCACCAGCTGATAAATAGGATGAAATAATGTTTAGTTCTTAGAAATAAGAAGGAATGTGGAACACAGGAAGACAGTTGAGAGCAATTCCCAAATATACTGAGAGTCCCAGTAAATCTTGAGCTTTATTGTAGCTGTAGTAAAATTCAAACTCTGATTATTTTCACTAGGAGACTTCAAACGAAGAGGAAAACAACGAAGATTCTGAGGGGAATGAAGAACAGGAGTCAGAGGCAGAGAACTCCACACTCTCGGGTGTGACAGCTAGCTATGGAGCAGAGACCACAGCTGAAGCAGGGACTTTTGAGTTAGCTGCACTCCAACTACCCAAGAAGGTAATGAGCCCCAAACATGGATTCAGTTTTCATCTTTCTGCTGATGTCTAAGTTTCCCCGACATTACTCACATAGTATTTGATACCATTTTATGTATATTAAAGAATATATATTAAAGAACCTCGTTAAAGAAACAAGAATAGATACACTTTCCCTGATTATAGATGAGAAATGATATTCTGTAAATTTCCACTCCAAAGTGTTGCTTGAAAATTTACATCATAACAGAAGACAGCAAGCAGCAAGCTAATATGGACAGCTACATAATTGCATAAAAGGGACAGAGAAGTATCACCCCACACCGAATGTGCCCCTTCCAAGGCAGAGAAAGTGGGTAGAGCTTAGAAAGCATGGGCCACAGGCCAGGATTATCAGGTACTCCCCTAACTCGTTGAAACCCATCCCAAAGATACCTATTCTGAATTTTCAAAGTCATCACAAATTTCTTAACAAATTAAAGCATGTTCAACTCAAAACAGCATCCAAGCACAAAAGTTCTGAGTGTTTTCATAACTTGATTTGGATGATTTCAAACCTTCCTTTCCAGGCCGGAAATGCAGAAAGCAAGGCTCTAAAAAAGAAGGAAAGCGATGAGGAAGAAGAGGAGGAGGAGGAAGAAAATGAGAAAGAAGAAGCAGAAGTGGAAGAAAACGAGCAGGTGGTCAACGGCACCAGCACCAACTCCACAGAGGTAGACGGCGGTCATGGCAGCAGTGGAGGAGACAACGTAGAAGAGGAAGTAGAGGAGGCAAGCGTCACTGAAGCAGGTGTAGAAGGAACCACAGGGGCCAGGGAGCTGAACAGTGATGGCACCAAGACAGCTGTCCTTCTGAAAGGGTTTCAGCAGACGACCCCGCTGCCCGAAGCCTATGGGACCACCTCCCCGTCGATCAGAAAGAGCAGCACCGTTGAGTACGGAGGAGAATACGAACAAACAGGCAATGAGTACAACAATGAATATGAAGTCTATGACAATGAGAATGGGGAACCTCGTGGGGACACTTACCGAGCTTATGAGGACGAATACAGCTACTACAAGGGGCATGGCTATGAAGGCTACGAGGGTCAGGATTATTACTACCATCAGTGAAGGCTCCTCCCGGGGGGGAATTCCCCATTCTTTTTTTGCATCTGGCTACCATTTTCAAAGTTCAACTCAGGAAGGTGCAGTATAACAGATGTGCATTTTATAGTGTGGAATGGTGCTACAGTCCCAGAGTGATTTCCGCAAATGCTTCTGTTTGTAGCGGGCTTCTTCTCCCCTCCCCCCAGATGTGTCATTGAAGGTTCATTGTAAGTCAAGGCTATTGATCAAGCAGCCCTGTAGATCTAGGGGTTGGGACTAGATAGAATGCTTTGAGATTGTAGCTCTATAGTGTTTGTGCTGTGCGCGCTATTGCTATCTGCCCAAACATACCCTGTACAAGAAGGCTCCTAATGAGAGATTTATTAGCAACACCGTGTAGGATGTGTGGAGTTCCTTTATCATACCCCCTATCTAATACTGTATTAGGTTTAATTTTCATCCTCATATATTTTATGGGACCTATGCACATGCATTTTTATCACAAATAAATATGCAGTCTTTCACATGTGTTATAATTAAGAAGAAAGGGAGAACATTGGAATGAGTAGTGGGTTTAAGGGGTGGGGAACAATTCAGCTAAAAAGCAACACTTATTTCCATGAGGGTTTAACACTCAGAGGATCTGGAAGCATTCTTTATTCAATACCTCGGAATGGCTGAGGTCTGACTAAGGAGGGCAGAATCAGCTGAATACAGGAGGGAGTAAGAGAGTCCTCTTAGAGTTGCCAGATTTAGACGCCCATTTCAGTTTGAATTTAAGACAAACAATGACTGGTTTTAATACAACCTCTACCCCCATGGATAATTTGTCTCTGAGAAGCATCTGGAACAAATTTATGCTGAATAAATGACTTATTCTTTACCTAATATTCAGTCGTGACTGGGTGTCCTGTGTTCTTCTGGTAAGCTTATCCCTACAAAATTTGATTTTACAATGGGGTAATTAAACTTACATACACACATGCAAACATACAAACTACACATAAATATATATGCAAATATAAATACACACAAACCACACACATATGTAAACAGACAACCACACACACATACAAACATACACAAAGGCAAATAAACAGACAAACTACACACATACAAACACAAAAACATTCAAACACACACAAACTACACATACAAAAACTATCCACACACATATACACGTGCAAACACACACAAATGCAAATACTCACACATACAAAGTACATGTATACAAACTACACACACAGAAATGCAAAGACACACACATACAAAGTATACATATATAAACCACACACATACACATATGAAAACACACACAAACTACATACACACAAACTACACATACACACACAAATACAAACACACACTTAGTCTACAAAGTCTTGACAACAACTGACTCCTTAATATAAACCTAAAAGCAAAATTCAAATTAGCATGTCAATAGTTGGAAGAAGCATGATGATAAGAAGTCACACATCCTTTAATTTATTCTCTATAACTTAATATGAGCCAGCCCACATAGTCAATATTTAGACATCCAGCACAGAAAAATGTAGAGCCTTGTCAGTGATTTCAGTTTGGGTGTGGTCAGCTACACCATCACCTGCTCATCAACCTCTACAGAAACGTTGGAAGACTGGTCCAGAAGCATCCTTACAATACCTGCCACCTTGCCTATTGACCCCTCAGTCTTCCTACTGGCCTCTCAGTCTTCCTACTGACCCCTCAGTCTTCCTACTGACCCCTCAGTCTTCCTACTGACCCCTCAGTCCTCCCACTAGCACCCTCAATCCTCCTACTGACCCCTAATCTTCTCACTGATCCTTCAGTCCTTCCACTGACCACTCAATCATCCCAGTGGTTCCTCAATCCCCCCACTGACCCCTGATACCTTAATCCTCTCACTGATCCCTCAATCTTCTCATTGATCTTTTAGTCCTCCCACTGGTCCCTCAGTCCTCTCACTGACCCCATAGTATTTCCACTGACTTCATAGTCCTCCTACTGACCCCTCAGTCCTTAGTTTCAGGTTATTTTTGTTTGCTTGTTTTACATTTTTAAGCTACCAGGAAGCCAAATCAGCTTACTCATCATGCTTTCCAAAATAATCCAGGTAGTTTTTGGTAAATTGTATAATTAAGCAAATTTCATCACTTTCCATTCCTACCAAAATGTAGACTTCGAGCATAACACTCTTTGAGCTTGTTGGGTGTCAGGAGGTTCCTAAGCAGTAGAATCATTTGTAACAGGCCCTCGATGCTGCCGTTAGATTGACATTCTCTATATTGATTCCACAAACAGGGAGACAGGCAACACACAGGTGCAGCAAAATGTCAGTTCCCAGTGTTCCTACCATTACACGATGATAGTAAACCAGAAGTGATAGGTGACAGAGGGTCAGACATTCTACTAATGAGGGGCTAGCTCTAATCATAGCTGAGCAAATGGACCTGGACAGAAGGCTGTAGTTGAGTCTCAAGGAGATAAAGTTGAAAGACTTTTGCTCAGTTGAAACTGGGAGAAAGGCAGGCAGGCTGCTTGTGAGTTGATGACCTAAGAATATTAACAGGTCCGTAGGTATCTGCTTCTGAAAGAGGACTCTGTCCCTTTCCTTGTGTCCACCTGTCTTGTCTGCTCTTTTTGAGTCTTAGTTTCATCAACACCAAGTCTCAGTTGAGTGTTCTCTCCTCATGTCTGCCCAGATACAACTCAGATTTCACTTTGGAGAACACAGCTCTTCTAAAGTGTGATGTTAACACTCCACAGTCACAGTGCCACTGCAGTCGCAGTGCGGGTGGGCGGGGCCCAGGAGCGCATCCCCCTCATCCTGGCCACTTTGATTAAGTGAGACTCCCTAACAGCTCTATCCACAAACCCAGCCTGACACTCTCTGCTCTCTGCTCTCGTGAACCAGGACTCTCAAAAAAGAAGTGGAGAATATTTCAAGAAGGACAAAATAGCAACATAATCTTCATGGAACACACGTCTAGCTAAAGAGTTTTCAGTGCAGGGTATTTTGTGACCTTGTAAAAAATATCAAATATGAATTTTTTCCTACCAAAGGGGGGGAACCTTGTGTTTAGGAGAAGACATTCAGATCCTTTTATCTCTTCCACTGCTTAAGATTTTATGTAAATGTTTGTATCCCTCTCCCACCAGCAAAACCTTTGTTTACACAATGGCTTATTGCTGTATTCCAGGAATTTGGTGGCCTGAAGTTGTGACTCTTTTCTCTTTGGAGCAATGGCCTCTTTCCCCTTCCTTCAGTTCCTGTGTAACAATTATTGTCAAATGATCCAAGAAAGTTAAGTCTGTGAGGTCAGACCCAAACAATGGAGAAAAGACACAGGCATCGCCTGAGTTAGAGTAAAACCCAACGTTCATCCTGTCCCTGTGTTTGCTCTTGCAAGCACATTCACTTGTTCAAGAGTAAAGCTGCCTTGTCCAGACACTTCAGTTGGGATTCTGGCCTCTTTTACTGCAATCTCAGACTTAGTTCTAACACTCTGAGTGGCCATGTAGGAAGTCCAGCTTGTTCTACCAGAAAGCAAGGTCATATATTAAGTGCAGCCGTGCAAGGCACCGTCTTGGCTGTTCTCCATAGGTATGTTTACAGGCAGTGGGTGTTCTGCATGGGTTATGTTTGCAGGCAGTGTCCGCACCTACTCCTATGCTTTCCTGTGAGAGAAATCAAGTGAAAACCAAGGCTAAACCACATCAGTACATATAACTTTGAAAGAAATTAGTGTATTGTTTGAAACTAAGTTTTGAGATAATGTGTTAAATAGCAAAAGTTGGTTAAGGCAGAAACAGACTGGATGGCACTGGATCTATGAGAGTTAAGAAAACCACTGAAGAAAAGCTGAACTAACACAATGCAGAGAGACGTAAGCTTAAAAGATAAAGGGAAAACTACACATGCCCTAATGTGGTCAGCAAGTATTAATATGTGTCCACCACACAGAGAACAGCTGGTAAAAGCCACACGCTGCCCCCTGTGGTCTGGCAGCCCCTGAAGGTAACACTGTTTCAAGAATGAGCAGTATCTTCCCCTTGATGTCACACAACAAGGCTTTGTAGTCACCTCCAGCAATGTCCTGAAGTAACGACTGGTATCATTATAAATTACATTTTAGCTATATCCTCAGCGTCCTCATCTCAAGTTATAATAAAACTTCTTTCTAATATAAAAATAAAGGTGGATTCTATTGACATAGCCTCTCTTTGCTAGTAATGGCTGAGTGAATGTGCAACCTAAAGAAACTGACACAACTAGCTTCATGCTGTTCTGTGGCATTCCATAGTACTGTAATTGAGTGAAATGCCAACACAGGGAGAAAAATCATACTTTCTAGAGATGAAAAGAACTTGGAAGAACATGAGAAGTTGGCTGTCAGTGATGTTTTAGAAAGTGGCATTTTGTAGCTTATGATGAATATTGATCCTTATGAGTGAGTATATTTAAAATAAAACATCTTATTCTTCTGAAACAGAACAAGGTTTCTGGGATTATTTTATATATAAAAAAACTTTTAGGCCATTTTTGTTAGTTTGCTTTAAATTCAGCAAAGATGGCAGGGTCCATCTCCCAAACACCAACATTAATCACCCAGATGCCTCTTCCCAGAATGCCCCTCTCCTAGCTTCTAACTAGAATGGGTTCTCACTATTTTTGCTCTTGTCAATTGTAGGTTCTAAATTTAAGACTTGAGTTGAGTGTTACTTCTTTGAATTCATTTCAGCTTTGAAAACATGTATATTTAGCTCTGTTCAGTTCACTCCTTGGTAGAACAAGAAGCTGAGTCCCAAGTCTTAAAATTATATGAATTTTCTTTTCCTAGACTCATGTTCTTACAGATTACAGTGATATATGTATGGTATTACATGTAAAGTGTTTTATATTATATATTAATATATGTATAATATTTTATATTATATATTAATTAATTTCACAGATGGGAATATTCTTTTGAAAGGAAGAAAAAAACAAAGGAAAGATACATTTGCAGATATATGAAATTATGAGGCTATAGAAATGAAAATGCCATTTTGTATCTATGTTATAGGTGAGGCACAAGTGAAGCTCGTACTCTGCATGAGTCACTAAAGCTACACACAGTGTAGAGGATAAAACACTGAGTGACCTGCTAGTTGTAAAATTTTTGAGCTGATCTTTGGTTTAATAGAACATCTAAGGCTCCAAATGAGTATTTTACCTCTCTCTTTACATCTCTCTCCCTTCCGTTTGTATTTGATTTTCTTTTGGTTGTTGCCTTTCTGTTTTTGACTTCCATTTCCTTATTAGTTTTGACCCTTGTCACCCAAGTCCTCAGTGCTGATGGAGCTGGAGGCATGAACGTGTATGATATCTAGAGAAATATACCTCCAGCTCTTTAAACCTCAGCCCTGAGCCCTGTCTCCTCTCTCTCTCTCTCTCTCTCTCTCTCTCTCTCTCTCTCTCTCCCTCTCTCTCTCTCCCTCTCTCTCTTTCTGATTTTGTGCTTTTGTTAGATAAACCTAAGAAGACATGGAATGGAAACCAGCAGTGGATGACACTGGAACAGTAGCACACTCACTCCACCTGGGTCCCAGACAGTTGTCAGTAACAGGAACAACAGGTGAGACAGTACGCAGTGGGCTGAGCATCTCACAGAACTTGGTAATGTTCATGCTGATGTTATGTGTCAGTACAGCACACTGCCACAATTAGCCAAATAGTCTACACTACTCCTGGCCTTTCTTTGTTGGTTATGTGACTTTAAGAAATGTCTAAAGGAAGTTACTCTGTGCTTCATCACTAAAAACTATGGTGATAGTAATATTTACATCAGAATTCTTACAAGTAGTAAACTTCTTAGAATAACGCTTGGATGGAGAAAATGCAGCCAGAAAACCTGTTTAGTTGTTAAAACATGTATTACTATAAACCCCCAATGGAGATGGGTTTGATCTCACACAACACTTCAGGTTAAATGTCTTCATTGTCAATGATGGTGATCCAGTATTCCAAAGTTCAGTTAGGTGCTTTGAGTCAATTGTGCTTCTCACACAGTAGCTTGAAGTTCTTATAAGTCTTTAGAGTCAACTCAGGATCTTTGGAAGAGAAGTCAAAGAATTTGTATAAAGCAAGAAGGTTTTGGCATAAACTACCCAAGCTGTCATTCTCTAAACCAAAATTGTGTCATGGATATATTATTCATTACTTCCAACTTTGTAATCTTAGTTTTGCCAATTTGAGTTGGGAAAAATCAGAGTTCCATACTTAAAAGTTATTACACATTATTTATAATTAGTCATAAAGCTGAATGTACACATAAGTAGCTCATATCATAAAGTATATTATAGAACGTTCATAATCTTTTATTGGTCGATCTACATGTAAGCCTACTGTGAGTCATCCTAGAAGGAATGACTATACTTTTAAACCAAGTAAACACTCCCTAACTATTACAAACATGAATTACAGTTTGGTTTTAGCTCCTACCACCGTTGACAGGAAAAAGGACTCAATGTCCTACATTGACTATTTAATAAAATATTAAATAAAAATTTAATATTTAATAATAATAAAATTCGTCATCCAAATTTAAACCCACAAACTCATCCTCAAAAGTATCTTTTAAATATTATCCTATTTCAATAAGAGAGAAACTTTGGGTTTTTCATTACATGGCAAAATTCTAAGTCCATCCTGATACCAGAGTCTACCCGTGAATTTGCCCTAGTGCAGCCTATTCCTACCGCTTTCCTGTGAAAACACGCTGAATATGAGGCATTTCACCGCTGCTCTACCGCTCCAGGCTGCCTTTGCTTCTCTGTCCGGACTTCATTCCTTCAACATCATCTCTGCTCAAACCTATAGTAGCTTTCTAGACCTGGAATTGAATTAAATTAATTAATTTAAATTCAGTCCTGAGACTGAATCCCAGGCCTTATGTAGAGTCCGCAAGTGCTCCATCCGTCAGCTCCGTAACCAACCCTGGAGCAGCTTCATCACTCAGGGCAAAGTGGAGGACCTGCAGATTCCTGGCCCTGGGCCGGTTAACTCCTGTCTGATTACCTGCTGGAATAAGCCAGCAAGCCCCTGTTACTGGAGCTCCTAGAACTTCTCTGTGAAATGTCCTATGTAAAGCCATGCGGCTACATTCTGTCTTAGTCTATGCTACTGTAACAGAATCCCCCAGAGGTGGTAATCTAGAGAGAACGACCATTGACATCTCACTGTCTTTAATTCTTATGACTTTGGAGGCTAGGAAGTTTAATACAAAGGAGCTGGAAGGTTCGCTGTTTGGTACAAGATAATTACTCACTTTCCAAGATGGCATCTTGTTACTTCATCTTTAGGGTGTGGTGGTAGTTGGGGGGTGGGTGGGGTGAAAGCTGTGTGCTCACGTGATAGACAGGTGGAATACACAGGCTCGAGGTCTTTTCCTTTAGCCTTTTGAAAGCTGTTACTCTTGCTCATGAAGATTCTCACCCAATGACTTATATTGTACAAGCCCTGCCTTAATATCATCACGGTGGGAGTTTTATTTGCAAGATGTGAATTTTGGAGCAATACATACATGTAAGCCATATTGAAGACTTTACTAAAAAGTGAGGCCACCCCGGAGGCTCTGTGTAAAACTTCAGCCCAGTGTCCTTACTCCCAGTACTTGAGATATCCCTCTGAGTGCTTCTGCTTGAAGTTTATCTGTGTCACTGTCTAATACAATATAGTCCCTTGTCTGTCTTCTTCATTGGTTGGTGAGCCCCGTGAGGCAGGATTATTTTCTCTTTAATTTACTGAAGCTTCTCTAATGCCTGCCCTATAGTAGGTGCTGAAAATACCATTGTTGTCTGAATAAGATTCAGATAAAATTAAGATTGTACACTTTCTAAATAAAACAATAAAAAGTCTTTCTGTTTATAACTTTGTTGGTTTACAAATATTTTCTACTTATACATATGTAAGCCATTCACCCAGTCCTACTTAATAGTTCTAAAATCAATTCTAATTATTTTGCAACATAATGTCCAAACTGAGATATTTATATTTTTCTGTTTATTCTACTTTCTGGAACATTTGATAGCAGCTTTCCACCACAAAAACATTTTTAGATTAAAATTACCTTACCCCCTGTGGTCATCTGTGGTCATTTGTGACAGACTGGTACTGAGTGAGCCATGCTGATTGGACATTGGGGGCTCTAACAAACTTTAAATTTCAGCAAATGCCCAGAGACTGCTAAGCCCGAAGAAGCCAAGCTTACCCGAAGGTGAATGACATCAGGTAAATTGTCTCTTTCTGCCCCTCATGGAGAATTGCTTTCTGACAGAAGTGCTTGCTTAAGCTTTCAGTAGTTTTACCATACTGCTAAGGATATTGAAAATAAGTGAGACTTGCATGAGGTGGGGAGCTACCACACTCTAGAGCTCATTATTTAAACTTCACGGCGTGAAACTGGCCTGTGAGCTGACTATCAAAATTACCAAGACCCATGTTATCTGGAACTGCATCATTTTACAGACCAGATGCAGGAGAAGCCAGTCATGTTTTTCTTTACAGATATCTTCTCTGCTGATGTATCTACCAGCATTGAACTATTTAATAAATGATAAAAGACTGTCCTTTCTACAATACTTAGAGGCCAAAGTTGTCACTTAAACTTAGATTTAAATCCTTAAGATAATATTAAGTTAGAAGATCATAACTTACAATTTTACAATATATCTTTATTACATTATTTGCTGAGTAAAAGTTTTACTATGAAATGTTCGAGTGCTATAAAAACTTGTTTTCCTCATTAAATGGATTTTCTTCCAACAAACCACATTATCATTCTCATGTTGGTTGTTACATGTTTATGTGTCAGTAAAATAAGTACTGACATCAAGACCAACAGATGCTGTCCAGAGCTGTACTGATAAATTTCCACTCTGATGGCTATTTGAGTGAGCTTCCAAGCTCACTCATTACACTCTGCATGCCTGCTTTAATCGATAACTAAATGCTAGTGTTCCAAAAGATTCATCTATTGAACATTATATAAAACAGGGTCTTCTTTGAGTTGAATGCTCATAGCTTTATTTAATAAGACGGAGGAGCAGAAATGTACTTGAAGTGACATAGAGTCTGGGTTAGGAACACTGGTTCTATAGTGACTTTGCTAGAATACCAAACCCAGTTCTACTTATTAATATTCATGAATCATGGGACATGTTTTGTGACCTTTCTGAGTCTGTTTCCTAGTTTATGAAACTGGTAAAGCCACATGGCTGATAAGGCTGTTGTAGGACTCAAATAAATAAATATATGTAAACTTAGAATGGTGCTTAGCTCATTTTAATACTTTTACTTACAGTAAAATTTGCTTCAGCAGTTTCTTCCTTTGGTCCCTATGTAGTGACTAGTTCAGACATTTTGCTAATGAATATGAAGATGTACATTGGGATACTAGCCTGGAATTGGTAAGATTCCATTCCTCACTTCTGTATCTGCCATCTGACACACTTAACAATTCAGATGTGACCTGATAGACTATCTTACTGTAACTTTCAATTATACAAGCATTTAACAATTTTTTCCCTAAGGGAAAATGTCAGATTACAAATAGAGTGAATAATTATGTGTCTATAAAATTAATTTCTACAAGTTGATTATCAGATTAATTATAGTCAATGGTTTTTATTTTTGCATGAAAGCAATCAGACATGAAATAGTTATTAATATATTAACCCTGACTATGAACTAATTGCTCAAACTACATATATTCATGTAAATGCTAATTTTATAGTATGTATGTATAAGATATGTAGTTCTACGTATCAAGAGGAAATGAACTTATGCAGGAAGGACGTGTGCATATGTAAGTGCTCACATCTGCCTTGCTCAGACAGATTCTTGTTATCTTTCAGAGAGCCTTGTGAAGATGCAGGCTGTGTCTACTGGACTGCTGCTCTTCAGTATGACCTGGGTGGCACCAGTAAGCATTTGCAAATTCACTCATGCATTGCATAATCTTTCTCTCTAGTTTCCAAGCAGGTTTGGTAAGAGGTGAAGAAACATGAATCACTAAACTTAGAAGCCTGCCACTTAAAGTGTACAAACTATAGAATAGCACCATGCTGTGTTTTCCAGAGACTTTGAGATAACCAGTAGCCAATCATGGCACTCGGCATTCCATGGCAGCTGAGATTAATGCAGTATGCTCAAATAAAGAAACCACAGTGAATCAAAAGAACCTTGTAATATTTTACCTTTAGGAATTTGGCACGAATGTGTAAAGCTAACTAAATACATAGATGGCCCTGAGAGTGGACTAGAATGTCTCTCGTCTCTGATAGCATCTTGGCACGGTGGGATCCCCTCAAAGATGTTCCCTTCTTTGGCGAGGTCAAAATGGAGCCGATACTCATGAACTTAACCTAAATCAGGCTCCTGCTGCCTCTTGTCTCTTTTCTTCTTCTGACTCACCTGGATGAGCTCTCAGGATGTGACCAAATTATCCCATGACAAAACCAAGCATTGCAGACGTTTTCTGCGACTCAGACACGGGGGCAAATTCGGTAACATCTTATCAACATCCTAGCTCTCAGAGAAACCTTCTGGGTTGGGGAACTATGGAGACATGTACTCATTCTATGCTGACCATGCTTAAATATAGGTCCTGAGCAAGTGGGTGAGCAGCAGGGGTAACCAGACCCACAGGGGTGAACCATGACATCTGGAGAAGGGGCAGAAGTAAATGAGGGAGTCAGACTCACCTCCTATTCCGTTCCCATCCCCCACTCCTGCTTCACACATACACACACACACTCACCCCCACCCTATCTGCCTGCCCCATCCCATGCCACAGCCCCTCATCTCCCACCCCTACTTCACACACACACACACACACACACACACACACACACACACTACCTCACCCTACCTCCACTTCACACACATCCTTACACAGTGGTAGGGGCTGTACTGAGTGAACCCAATCCTCACAAGGTCAGTCAGAACCATACAGGCATGCACTGAAGCAGGCTGTTGGTCGAGTGGGTCTTGCTGACCCTCTTCAGTTATTTTGAGCAGCCCATTCCAGGGAAGAGCCAAAATGTCCTTTCTAACCAGCTTCCAGTAAAGGGCTAGGCCAGTGACCACCAGTCAAAAGAGGTGGCCAACTTTCCTCCTGGGGGCAGACAATGTCATACCCATTACAGGGCCACAGTCAAGTCCAGGGCAATTGCTAAGTGGGCATCAGAGGAGCAGAGAGGGCTGCAGATTTCAAGTTACAAAGTCTTACCAGGGAACAGGGACAAATTTGGTGTTAAGAATTGCAGTGTTATCTTTTATCACAGATACATTTCACTTTAACAATTATCCCAGTTGTTTAATCATAGATTGTTGGTATGAGTGTATAGCAAGCCATGTACGTGTGTCTCATAATTATAAGCCAAACTCATCCAGTTTTAAAGTGTTAGGAACTAGAAGGTGAAGACTGAGCAGCATAATGCAATTAATGTTCATTTTATGCAAATGAGGGAGGCTTTGATCTAAGTTAACAATGTATCAAGAACTATACTGGGCTAATCTATGTGAGCAAGAATATATTTAATATGACTGTAAATGTGCACGCGTGTGTGTGTGCGTGTGTGTGCACGTGCCCATGTTATTTCTACATTCTTCCCACTACAGCTCCTTTTGATATTACTAACAATGAGGTAACAACTTAATTTATATTCACAAGATCATGGAAGAACTGACATAATAAATAAGTGTAATAAAGAATAAAGAAATGTATCTTGAAGATTTAATATAAACTTCAGGAACACCTCTCCATGTTAGCAAACATTCTTTCAAACAAAGCTACTATAGTTTTTTATCGCTTCAGTCTTGGGGTTTTAAAGCAGGAGATTCAGGTTAGGATGACTTTCTGCTTCTCTGTCACCAGCTCTGTGTGGGCTTTCTCTCCCCTGTTGCTCAGCTCACAAGAGAAATTATTATGCAAAAGCCCTTTGCAAACTGTGAAACTCTCTGCAAATGATTGAGTCCTAGAACGATAAGGTGTTACAGACAAACCGATTGTTTCTAGAATGAAATTAAACAGTAGACAAATCCTTGGGGTTCAAATAATGGGATGCTGTCACTATAACCACTTGAGTTTAGGCTTCTGTGAAGATTTTGTCCATTAGAGTAGAGACACATAAACAGAAACCCATGGCTTTGAGTGTTGTTTAGGAAAAGCACCCCCTGGGCCCATGGTTTTCAATCTTCCTAGTGCTGTGACCCTTTAATGTTGTTCCTGATGTTGTGGTGACCCCCAACCACAAAATTATTTTTGTTGCTTCTTCATAACTATACTTGTGCTACTGTTATGAATCACAATGTAAATATCTGTGTTTTCCAAATGTCTTAGGTGATCCCTGTGAAAGGTTCATTTGACCCCAAAGTGGTTATGGCACACAGGTTGAGAAACACTGCTCTAGGCCAGTAGGACAGGTAGACAAGTCCTCTGACTGCTTGTCTTTTTTTTTTTCTCTTTTGTAAGACTTCTCCCTCTTCTGTGACTAATCTGTCCTGGTGCCTGCATCCACCCTAGCACACCTGTGACACCAGCACATCCCACTCCTTCATCCCCTTCACCACAACAGTGATAAGCAAGAACTTTTCAAAGGAAACAAGAAAACAGAAACACTGAGATTTGAAGTTGTCACACCATTTTGTACACAGAAAAACTTGCCCCTAGGGTTCTTACATCCTCTATTTTATGTGACAGTTTGTGTGACATCTCACAAGGCCTGCAGTAGTACCTATGTCTACTCCTGTATCTGGCCTTTATGTGCTTCAATAAGCCTTAGCAGACAAGTCATCTACTGATACTCCGTGCTGATCAAAGAGATCACCTGATCCCTGGCCAAAATGATTTGCCTCTTGAGGAGACACCAGAGGTGTGCATTTACACACAGGCTCACAGCTTGTGTAATCCTCAGCAACCATCATAGCACAGCACAGCACAGCTCAGTACAGCACAGCTCAGCTGCTGACTTACACTGTCCCTGAACAGTCTGAGTCCTAGCCTACTTCACTTTAACACCTCAGGTTTGCCAATGAATGTGTCTTTTCTATGGATTCCAATGGCTCCTGTCCTAAACTGGAACACCATGCCCACCTCTCCTCTCCCCAGCACACAGGGACACTTCTCCATGCTGGAAATGGATTCTTACATAGAGATAGCATTGCCATCTAGTGGAGAGGTAATTGTTTTTCTCCTAACAGGTAAATATTTAAGGGAAAGTGGACTCAATCTTTCTATCGGACATAATAATTTTCTATGTTAACACAATCCAGTGAAAGACACAGAAATAAAACATTTGTTGTTTGAAGAAATGAATGAAAGAATGATCTATTTGGTGAGATTGAGTGCCTTGTTTCCTTGCAGACCTTTCAACCACAGACTGTGAAAACTAAGCAAGGGTGTGTGAAAGGACAGAGGGTAAACAGATATTCCTCTCAAATAACAATTTTAGCTCTGTAAAGGAAAAAAAAAGCAGCAAGGGAAAAATTTAATTACCAAAATATTCTTGGGCGCATAGGCCAGAAGTGCTCAACATCCAGCAGAATTTTGATGACACATTCTAGTTCAGTATAATCCCTACAACAGATTATTAAAAATTCCCAAGTATTGATAGCTTTTATTTTCAGCATGATTTCATGCTTCCAATGAAACAGTGATTTGTCACACAACTTTCAGAGGGATAAGTAAGAATTCTGAGACACTGTAATTAGCAAGCACTGTTACCCACCTGTGTGCAGCATATGAAGGCAAACTCATAACTAAAGAGAAGACAGGGCTGGTCAACAGCTTTAATGGAGAGTGGGGTTCACATGGAAATAGTTTTCTGCAGGTATACTGTCAGATTTGTATGTCATCAAGCCACAGCTGATTTCTACCATGGTTTCTCCTGGCAGTCCCAGGTCTATGTTCGGAACCTCAGCTAAAAATTACAAAGGTCCAAATGGCAAACTTCAAAGCCAGACCATTCATGTGGTGGTATTTGCCAGATGGACCTTAGCCATGGTGAAAGAAAAAACTATCTTTCTTCTAATGCCCTCTCCCCTCTGCTCTGGGAATGTCCCCTCGTGTTGCAGCTCCACTGAGTTATGGCAGGAAGACTGACACACTGTGGAAGACAAACAGCTGACAGTGGCATGCAGGAAAAAGATATTTCAAGATTAGCCTTTTAGGTGGCTGCCATCTATAGTGGCTGACTCGTGCCCTCTTGTGGTTTATAGGTGGTTCTACCTATTGTCAGAGGGAGAACAACTTCTCTCAAGTTAAAAGCTATCCCATAGTATTAGGAAGAAGTCAAGAAATTTTAAGAGACAAAACCACCTTAATAATGGAATAGTTTTTGCATCATTTATATGGGTCATCATGAAAAATATGTCTAAGCTGAACGTGATGAGAAGGTAAGTGACTATGAGAAAACTCCTCACATGTGAACTAGCTAGGGGAGCTAGGAGGAGACTGCTCTGGTTTCCAGCATGGATGTTGCTTTTCTTCCCTTCCCCACACTCCCTAGGTCCTGAAGTCACTGTGCTGTGCAACTCTGTGTTCCAGAGTCTTCCTTATCCCCATCCATTGCTTTGGCCCAAACCATGTTCTAGTTTGGGACCTACTTCTTCAAGTGTGGCCATGACCGGCCTTGGAGGTCTGTAATTGTCATTTTGCTGTGCATCATTGCAGTGTATTTCATAAGTAAGATTTCTGAGCATATTCTATACTGTATGCTAGAACAGTGTAGACTCCCAGGGGAATGAAGTTACTATGACAGGCCATCTAGCAGTAAAGAGTGACATACGTCTCTTAGAGCCATTCCATGAATGACTTCATCCATGTCCAGTCACACTGAAGAGAAAGAACGAGGCCCTTGTTGCTGGGATGACAATAATTCTTTTTGCTTGGTGGCTTCTTGCAGAGCATTGCCCAAACAGCTGCAAAGAGCTCAGAACACCTCCAACCAAAGGGCTATTTACTTTCCTAAATCTGACTTCATTTTCTACGGAAGTAAGAATTCTGTAAAAATCTTGTTTTCCTCTGCTGGAAATCCTTTGTATGGCCATCTGTAAGGCTGCATCATTCGGTCCATGCAAGTTAGTTAATTTTGGTTCTGCTGTGGCATATGTTTCCGGTGCTCCTGCTGAGTAAGATACAGAGCAAGCTGGAGCAACAGAGGAATGCAATTCCTTCTCTCTCAGAATTGAAAGACAGAAAATGATCACAGGGAACCCAAGGTGGCATGTGGAAAGTGTCATGTGAGTGCCCTCTAACCCCAATCACACATCAGGGGCTGAGAATAGAAAGAAATCGATTCCTGGCTGGCGTTTAGAGAAAAGAACACAATGGAAACTGTGAGCAAGGTGGTGGGGAGCAGCAAGATTCAGGAACACAGATGTGAGTGGGAGAGGCAGCAGTCCAATGGAAGGATGCCCTGAGCTAGGCAGGACGGAGAAGACAGCCCAGACAGCTGACTCACAACTGGTCAGGCAGCCAAGGACAGACTGGAGATCACTTCCCTGAGCGCATGCAGGACAGGAAGCCTTTTATAATTTAGAATATTTTCTCAGACAAATGGTTAACCATCTTGTGGCAAAATTAAAACATAGCTTTTTAAAACAAATGCAGATCAGTTTTATTTACTCTTCTAGCTAAATGCACACTAGTCATTAGTAAGAACGCCACCATTCTTAACAAAAAATTCCTCTGAGAGTAAGGAGAAAGAATAAAAGCACTTAAGTTTAAATTTAATATATTGACTTTTTTAACCTACCTGTTCCGCTCAAACTGACTTAACAGATGTAAATAGACATAAATGCCCAAGGTAAGCTTTCTGAAGCTTGATGGTTTAAACTAAGGCAAGTATTTAGAAAATTTCCTAGTCAGAAGTAAATCAGTTCAGATCCTTTTTATTTTCTTCTCATAACAAAATCCTATTTTCACCATAAGTTTGGAGCTATAAAAGTTACTGAGTAATGTTATCATCATTCTCATGTGAAATTCATTAATGATTGTATCTTACAATGAAAAGAAATGGAGAATTTTTGAGATTTTGGAGACTTCATACTAATGAACTCTCCCAGACTAGAAGGGACTTCCACAAACTATCTTTACCTGTAGTTCAAGTATGTGCTGACTCAACAGTCTTAAAGCTCCCAACACTTAATAAAGTGCATTTTAAAGCAAACAGGTAGAGAGTGCACAGTGATGGCTCATAAATGGTTGCTAACCCAGACAACCTGAAGTCTGTCACCAGAACTGTCATGGTGGGAGGGAAGACCAGACTCTCTCAAGTTATTCTCTAATATTGATACATGGGTATAACACACTCAGGTTCTCCCTGCTCTTTAACATAGGCATGCACACACACACACACACACACACACACACACGCGCACACACACTATTCTTAACTTGAGACTGGGGGACATCAAAACCCTCTTTTAGACCACATTTGATCAGAGGCCCCAGGTTACAGAACCCAGTCCAGGATGAGTACATAATTCTCTGCTACTACACATAATTCAGTGGCTTGTAGAAACTGGGAGGACAGCTGTGCATTCTACGAGGAAATGAGTAGTCTTATCACTATGTAGGGAAGCAAACTAGCATTCTACCAAGGGCGCCACACAGCCTTGCATGAATGGCAGCTGCTATCATTTATATAGAACTTGGTTAACAATAGACTTGCATTGTATCACTTAACAAGAGTATGTCTTTTAAAAAATCCTGAAATGTGTGTATTTTCTTATTTTGTAGTGAAAAATCTGATGCTCAAAGAAGCGAAGTAGTATCCCCAGGTCATATGCTTCCCTGGATCACATGTTTCCGTGGGTCACATGTCTCCCCAGCTCATCTAGTCCAAAGTGGCCTGGCAGCTGATAGGATACCTGAGCCCTCCTGTAGCACAGTTACTTCACAGAGCACTGGAGTGAGAGATTTGGAACCATTTGGGACCTGGAGAGATGATTCAGCAGCTAAGACCACTTACTGCACTCCCAGAGGATCAGGATTTGTTTCCTGATCACAATGCAGCTCACATGTGCATCACACACACACATGGTGCACAGACACACATATAGGCAAGACACTCAACATATTAAAAATAAATACAAAAAATGTTCAACCATTTTGTCTGATGCCGTTCATCATGGCCCTGGCTCACCTGAACTACTTCAGCATTTTTGCAATAGTCTCCACTTCTCAAAGGTATAAGCTTCCAGCTGAATCCTCCTTTTCTCTGTATAGAAGTTTCCATCTATTCATATCTTTAGTTATTATAACCAAGATGTTAACATGCTCAAGGGCAGCTAGCATATTGAGGCGTGTCAAAAAATATTGGTCCTACCACTTAATCTTAAAATATGAATTCACATCATTTTGCTTCTGAGTATTTGACTCTACCTGCCCATAAAAATCTACCTCAGTCCTATTGTTCCATAAATACGTCATTCCTCCTGCCGTGCCTGTTGAGTTGTAGACTTTACATTAAATATATTAGAGATTTTAAATGCTTTTTATGAATTATTGGGTTTTAAAACTTAACATAAAATAATAACTTTATGCTAATATTTTTACTTTATCAAAAAGGAAAATAAAGCAGAGACAGTATTGCCCTTCACCACTTTGACAAGAGAAGAAATCATGAGTCAACACTGGAAGAAATCATTATCCAAAAAAAAAAAAAGAGAGAGAAAGATGTCTCTTTTTTGAAAGCAATAAAAATAAACAAAGTAGTAAAACTCCAAATCTTTCTGTAAATCCACAGATGCTGAACGTAGACGGCAGCAACAGCAACCAAGGCAACTTCCACAAGGACTTAACAGCATCTGTGTATCCTGAACCCATGGTGGGTAAAGGAGCAGAGGATGGGCAAAGTGTTCCCCTTCACATGCCTGACCAGGACAGGTATGGTGCTGCCCTGCTCAGAAATACCATGCAGCCTGTAAAGAGTATGGTGATTGGAACCGAACTATGGAGGGACAGAAACCAAGAGAAAAAACCTCAGAGTGTTCTAAGCATAATTCCAGCAGATGCCAATGATGTTAAAGACTCCTTAAAAGATATAAAGAATCAACAGAGGTATCTTCTGTCCCAGGACATCCCAGTAAAAAGCAAACTTACCCGTCAGACCCGACGAAGCACTCACTACCTAACACATCTCCCCCAAGTCAGAAAGATTCCCAGTGACTTTGAAGGTAGTGGTTCGCCAGATCTTCTAGTGAGGGGAGATAATGATGTCCCTCCTTTCAGTGGAGATGGGCAACATTTTATGCACATTCCTGGCAAAGGAGGTGCTACTGGGCCTGGTCTTGAAAGCTCAGCTAGTCACCCTGACTCAGGCGCCAGCAAAGCTGAGGTTGTTGACCCACACATGTATGGACTGGGTTCTAATGAGATCCCAGGGAGAGAAGGGCAGAGTGGCAGTGCCTACGCAACCAGACACAAAACTGCACAGGAGGCAGGCTCTGCGGGTGTGGGCCTTGTGGAGGGCAGCAATGAAATCACAGGCAGTACCAATTTCAGGCAACTCCCTGGAAAAGAAGGAAACAGAGTTGGTGCTGGCAGCCAAAATGCTCATCAAGGGAAAGTAGAATTTCACTATCCACAAGTGTCCTCAAAGGAGAAGGTAAAAGGGGGTGGCAGGGAGCACACAGAAAGAGCCGGTTACAACGAAATCCCCAAGAGCAGCAAAGGTAGCTCTAGCAAAGATGCAGAAGAATCCAAAGGGAACCAAGTAACCTTGACTGAAAGCCAAAGATTTCCAGGTAAAAGCAAAAGCCAGTCTTCTCACAGTCTTGGTTATGAGGTTAAAAGTGAACAGGAGTCCTCTAATGTTCTCAGAAGAGAAGGGAGTATAATAGCCCACAGAAGAACAAACCATTATGTGCACCATGGACAAAATAATCCTACAGGGAATAAAGGGACGTCTCAGCGGAGGGGCTCCTGGCCTTCAAGAAGGCCCTATTCCCACAGGCGTGTCAGCACCCGCCAAAGAAACAGCAGCAGCGAGTCATCCTACAGCAGAAGTTCTAGTGAGAGCGATGGTGACTAGTCCCCAGGATTGAACCGATCCCCTGCTCGGGTCTTGGAGGAAGAGAGGACACAGCAGGAACTGAGCAAGCTAACAGACTTAATGTCCCCTTCAGGACATTGTGCTGTTATAATGGTTGTCATAAGGATTTCTACTCAAAGTTCTGATGCCTTTTTAAATAAAAAACTTTCATAAGAATTTATATAATAAGTAATATTTAGGTAGGGGACATAATTAAAATAGTCTGTGAATGTCATAAGTGCCTTGATATGTTATTTGCTTTTCAGACATGAAAATAAATATGCTTTCTCTATGATGGTGTGTAGTTAAATGATCTACAGGCGACTGTTGTTGGTACAGGAAGAATTGAGAGGTAACAAGGGTAGTCTGCCTCCAGCAGAGAGGTAAGGTGTGTGAACCAAATCCCCTAGACAAAGCTTGAAAGTGTCATTCTACTCTAACTGGGATTTCATGGCCGTCAGTGATCTTTCCTCTGCATTTACTGTGTGCTATGAGGCAAGTTTAATTTCTGAAACATATCTAACGTTGATTACTTTTTGCTCGTTCTTTCTTCATTTAGAGAGGAGAATAGGATGTAGGAAGTGCGATGGGGAAACAGTCAAGATTCAGTTCAACATAATATTCACTGGCCTCTTCCAAAGTATCCCTAACTCTATTTCTGTTTAGCATTGATGTTTTCCTCCCAAGATGAGGAAACCTGGAAATGAGACTACTGTCTGCTGCTGAAGAAAGCTTTTGTCCCATGGCAAGAGAAACATACCCAGCTGGTGCTCAGTTCCTCTTTTCTCATGCTTTCTCCTTGGCTTAGCATGAGCCTGCTGTCTGGGTGTGCAGTAGCCAATGTGTGGTCATGAGGGAGAAACAGAGTGAGTGGGAGCCACTGAGTTAGCCCTGGCCAACTTCCTGCTCAGAACACCTTGTCTGCAAGAAAACCAGCTCTCCCCATGTCAGGTGTTGATATAGTGTTGTTACTGACGCCTTCTCTGAATTCATCACTAGTAATACACTCCACCATTCTTAACACTCTCCTAAATGAGGAGCATCAAGGGAAGGGAAGGAGGGATGGAACCTACATAAAGGAATGTGGGTATTTTTTTCTCCTGTCCCTTTAGACTCTCAAACAGCAGACACCCTGACCAGAGTGTTTGTTGTGACATCTGTGTTTTGACCCCTGGTACTCTTTCTGTTTTAATAAAAACTTAATTTTACCACCCCCTCAAAGCACACTGAAGGCAGTTAAGTAAAAGAATTATAACTGAATTTAAACTGTAATTGAATAAGTTGAAACCAACTCAGCATCTTTCACACAGGAACAATCTGAGCACATGGATGAGATGGCAAGAGAAAGCTAAGTAGGAGGAGTCAGCAGATGCTGTCTTAAATCCAGACGAAGATCCTAAAAGCCTCCTGACTTCTTTGTTTTCTAGGGGACAATTCTCTTGTTAGAATGTTCCCTCTCTCCATGTTTGAAGACACATGGACAGCCCTTCAAGACACTGGCAAGGGTTATATCTGCTGCCTTGTTAGGGAACTAGATCGGTTTCACAATGTGCTGTTCTTGAATGTACACATAGAGACGCTGGTATAGATCCAGACCTGAAGAAGCCCACAGGACTCTCCCCAGTCAGACAGGCTGTTCTTTCTCTCTGCTCATGTTTCACCAGGACTATCCTCATTGAAAAGTAAACTTGCATGGTCTCCAAAATGGACAAGTTCAGCATCTCCTAGTCACCCTTGGAAGGAGGAGAAAGAAAGATGCAGCCTGCCACCTTGTGACCAAAATGAAAAACTGCCCATTCCCAGCATGGGAGAATCCCGGGCTACCATTTATTTGCCTGTGGGCAGTGCACTCCCTCCAAGCCACTTGCCTATGTTTCTCTGAAAAAGTAAGGAAGGTTACCTGATCCTGTTCAGTTTCTTAAACTTGAATAAAATTCACAAAATAACCACAATTTATAAAATTCTGTGAAGATTAAAAGGGGAAAGATGTTCATGAGCTTTACTGACTGAAAAATGTAATGGAAGAGAAAGATGATCAAGAATAAGACACTGCCTATCTTGTCGAAAGCAATCTACATACTCAATGCAATCCCCATTAAAATCCCAACTCAATTCTTCACAGAGTTAGAAAGAGAAATTCTCAAATTCATTTGGAATAACAACAACAACAACAAAAAAAACCCCCAGGATAATGAAAACTATTCCCAACAATAAAAGAACTTCGGGAGGAATCACTATCCCTGACCTCAAGCTGTACTACAGAACAATAGTGATAAAAACTACCTGGTATTGGTACAGAGACAGGCAGGAAGATCAATGGAATAGAATTGAAGACCCATAAATGAACCCGCACACCTATGGCCACTTGATCTTTGACAAAGAAGCTAAAACCGTCCAGTGGGAAAAGGACAACATTTTTAATAAATGGTGCTGGTTCAACTGGAGGTCAGTATGTAGAAGAATGCAAATTGATCCATTCTTATCTCCTTGTACAAAGCTCAAGTCCAAGTGGATAAAGGACCTTCACATAAAACCAGATACACTGAAATTAATAGAAGAGAAGATTGGGAAGAGCCTCAAATGCTTGTTCCTGAACAGAACACCAATGGCTTATGCTCTAAGATTAAGAACTGACAAATGGAACCTCATAAAATTGCAAAGCTTTGTAAGGCAAAGGACACTGTCAATAGGACAAAACGGCAACCAGCAGACTGGGAATCCTATATCTTTACCAATCCTAATCTGATAGATGGCTAATATCCAATATATACAAAGAACTCAAGAAATTAGACTCCAGACAACCAAATAACCCTATTAAAAATTGGGTACAGAGCTAAACAAAGAATTTTCATCTGAGGCAACTTGAATGGCCAAGAAGCACCTAAGGAAATGTTGAACATTCTTAGTCATCAGAAAAATGCAAGTCAAAACAAAACTCTGAGATTCCACCTCACATCATTCAGAATAGCTAAGATCAAAACCTCAGGTGATAGCAGATGCAGGCAAGGATGTGGAGAAAGAGGAACACTCCTCCATTGTTGGTGAGATTGCAAGCTGGTACAACCACTCTGGAAATCAGTCTGGCAGTTCCTCAGAAAATCGGACATAGCATTACCTGAGGACTCAGCTATACCACTCCTGGGCATATACCCAGAAGATGCTCTAACATATAACAAGGACATATGCTCCACTATGTTCATAACAGCCTTATTTATAATAACCAAAAGCTGGAAAGAACCCATATGTCCCTCAACAGAGAAATAGATAACAGAAAATGAGGTACATTTACACAATGGAGTATTACTCAGCTATTAAAAACAATGAATTTGAGAAAGTCTATTTATTTATTTATTTATTTATTTATTCATTTATTTATTTTATTTTTTCTCAAATCGTAATTAATTCACACAGGGGTTATAAACACAGAAAAGCAGGATGTGGGGAAGGGAATGACACTGGAGTGTGGGTGTTCAGGGGGAATACAGATATCTTCAGAACCGGGTATCGGCTGGGTGAAGGTTCAGGGGACAATTCACTATGACTCTGCCTATGACTCACTTGTCCTTATCTAAGTTGGTATTGTCTGCCAAGGCTACCTATTTACAAGGTCTATGACTACTCAGGCTTATAAATTTCCACAAAAGCTGCCTGTTGACATTAGCTTATAGCCATCTGTTTCAATGTTTTTCCACTGAGACCCAAGACTTGGTGTTAGTATACATGTATGACATGCCTATTGCTGATTTTAGGCCTATGGCTGATTTTAGGCCTACAATGTGTAAGCAGGGATGCCCCTGACGTCTCCTCCCTTCTCTAAGTATAGAAGGGCTGTGGCAATTCTAATCTTGTGAAGGCGGGGATAGAGGCCTGACCGCCAGTATTTGAAGGGGACTTTGTAATGGCTCCAGTCCCCCTGTCGTTGTCCAGTGAGGCATGAGGGCCATACCTGTCCCGATGTCTTTTTCCTGGAGAGAGGATACTTTTGACATCAACCCCTATGCAGTCAGGCTTGTCCCTCAGGGAACCCAGATAGATATTTTTATCTGTTATTTATATTCCCTTGCAGTGCTTAGCCTTGCAGCCTAAGCAAGAATTCAGATCGCCTGTCAGAGGGGGTTCTAGGTGGCTCCTCTCTGCTTGGTCTAGGGGCAGAAGTCCCCCCTTTTAGGTTGGGTGGAGATGTGTTTTGGAAACACCCTGTATAAAGTAACAACCTCATCTTGAGTCTCATGGTCCTCCATAGCTAACTTATGATAATGTATCTGAGTAGGTTTTTCTACCAAATTATTTATCTGTTGTATCACAGAGTTAGTCCGCCTATTTGAGAGCTAGGGACCAGCAGAAAAAAGGAAAAAGAACCCAAATAATGGTCCCAGGATGGAAGGAAATAGGGTTGACAACCTTGGAGAGGCTGCAAACCAATTCTTGTACCAGCATTCATCTGTCTCTTTCTCTTTCTGATTTTTCTTAGGGCCTTCACTACCTATTTCATGCTCTCTTTAACCCTCCTTGTCTATGTAAAGGCAACCTTCTTCTTTGAGGGTTGTACACAGTCAAGAGCTGTATACAGTCTTTTCTATTGTACTAGAGTAAATCAAGTCCAATAAGGATCTTTGCGATTTTAGGAGGTCTCTTCAGACGGCAAAACGAGGGATTTCTTCAGATAGTGATGTCAATCTCTAGCTGTTTGATGTTCTTGTCAGTGGCCCTTCAAAGGTCTGAGTAGTATAAGTTCGGAGGCCAGCATCTGGATTAGAACTTCTAACAGCAGACATCATGGGTGATTCATTTTTACCTGGAAAGGAAAAAGAAGGGGATTCTCAGGGAGATTTCCCTTCCCTGGATGTAAATTGTTATTCATCATATTTATGGTTGGGCCTGGCTTTGTGGGGGTATCTATTTTTTTCATTAATCTTTTTGGTAGCCGGTTAGCTGTGCCTTTTGTGGTATCGGACAGGCATATCAGTCCTCGGCCCCATAAGGGAACTGGGTCTGGGCCA